CTGAAAAAATGGCGGTGGAATGTAGAATCGTTATTAATTCTTAACATTAAATTCAAAGTACTGTGACTGTTGGTGTTGTACACGAAGTATGGTATGCTCATAATTTTTATAGGTTTAACGTCCTACTGTTCTGCTCCGACATACATTGTGCTGTGAGGGAAATTTTGCCCGGGCAGCGATACTATGGCCTACTCTTATATCGTATTGCAACTGTCAAAGGATCTTTGACGTGCACGCTAATGTTTCCATCCGAACAACTAGACAGCTGTCCTCCAGACTACAGAGCCAGAGTCCTACCCACTCCGCCACCGTGGCAATTGCAATTCGACGAAGAATTGCCGAAAACGGCGATGTTCGCGAAAGATTTCCCCCATAGCACACTCACTGTATGGCATATGCCCGTCTTCCTTATCACAGTTGGTGCATATTTTTTTTTTTAAAGTACACTTTTTATGAGAAAAGTGTAACGGTCGTGTGCTTTATCCCTTATCATCAAATGGCGGGATGGGGTGGTGAGATAATGATATAGACATGTATGATATCACAATTAATGCTTTGCATCAATGAAACGGGGTGTTGGATTTCTCTCTGTAAAAAGCTCAGTGTGTATGTATGCCTACGTAACCTAGAGACGATGATGGCATCATGCATTGTCAACTGTCAAATTTCCTTAACAGGAACCTGGCAACGGGTGTTCGACCCATGCATTGGCCGAGAAAGTTCATCCAGATTTTCCGGCGTGGTTCCCCCTTGTCAGTGATGCAGGACTGTGGGCCTGACAAGGATAGCTGTCTAGTCCTTCGGATGAGACGAAAAACCGAGATCCCGTGTATACATTGGAATGCACATAAAAGATCCCTTGGCAGTGCCCGGGCAAAATTTCCCTCATAGCACACTGTATGGCGTATGGCCGTCTTCATTAGCCCAGTTTAATAGCAGAACAGTAGGACGTTAAACCCCATTTCATTTATGGAACCTGGCCTGCAAAAAATCCTGGATCCGCCCCTGAACAGAATGTTCAACCTCATTTCTTTTAAATAGAAATATCGATTTATTCACAATCATCTTTAAAACAATGGTAGTGACGGGCTGTTTAATTAAATATTAAAAACAACATTTCTAAATAATATGACAAAAAGAACAACATTTTTTTTTATATTTTTACTTGATGTGACCTTTTGATATTTAATACATGGTTTCAAACAAGTTGCATTGCTTGAGGCATTTTGTTAAACAAGTATTAAAAGAGACTGGTGATGTTTTTTGTTAGAAATATTGACATGATAATCACTTATCTCTCGTGAATATCTCGGTTTTAATCTGCTGTGACAATATACCAATCAACTGGTGAGTATATTCACAGAGAGAGAGACAGACAAACTAGGTCATTTTGAGACTAACATATGGTTCAATTTTATTTCAATAGCAGTGGTGGCTAAGGGAGTAAGACGCTGGTTCGGTAACCATACAGCCTACACTTATATCGAATTCCAACTGTCAAGGGATCTTTTACGTGCAAGCCAATATATATATGTCCGAACGACTAGACAGCTATCCTTGTCACGCCCTCGGTCCTGCACCACTGTATATACGGGACCTCGGTTTTTCGTTCCTTCCGAACGACTAGACAGCTGTTCTTGTTAGGCCCTCGGTCCTGCACCACTGACAAGGAAAAACCACGTACGGAAATCCCTATGAACTTTCTCGGTCAATCCAGGAATCGAACACGCGACCTCGAGGCTAGCGAGCCAGCGTCTTCGCCACTTCGCCACCGTGACTCCCCGGTAGACATAACACAAGAGAGAGAGAGAGAGAGAGAGAGAGAGACACACACACACACACAGAGGGAGAGAGAGACACACACACAGAGAGAGGGAGAGAGAGACACAGAGAGAGAGAGAGACACACACACACACACACAGAGAGGGAGAGAGAGACACAGAGAGAGAGAGAGAGAGAGAGAGAGAGAGAGACACACACACACACACAGAGGAAGAGAGATACACACACACAGAGAGAGGGAGAGAGACACACACACACAGAGAGAGAGACAGAGAGAGAGAGAGACACACACACACACACACAGAGAGGGAGAGAGACACACAGAGAGAGAGAGAGACACACACACACACAGAGAGGGAGAGAGAGACACACACACACAGAGAGAGGGAGAGAGAGACACACACACACACAGAGAGAGGGAGAGAGAGAGAAGGGGAAATGGGGTTTAACGTCCACTCGACACAAACTAGGTCATTTCGGGACTAACATATGGTTTATTTTTATTTCAATAATTCGCTTGCGCATAAGGGTCTTTAGCAGTGGGAGGAAACCGGAGGACCCGGAAAAAACCCACGAGGTTGGACAGGCGACCTTACTCCTTGTCACGTACAACCGGGGATTCGAAACCACAGAGAGAGAGAGAGAGAGAGAGAGAGAGAGAGGGAGAGAGAGAGCAAGCAAACGAAAGTCCATAAAGCGTCTTAAATGAAATGTAATGGGGTTTAACGTCCTACTGTTTTGCTCCGAACTGGGCTAATGAAGACGGGCATACGCCATACAGTGTGCTATGAGGGAAATTTTGCCCGGACAGCGGCACTACGGCCTACTCTTATATCAAATTGAAACTGTCAATGGATCCTTTACGTGCACGCCAATGTTTACACGGGACCTCGGTTTTTTGTCCTTGTCAGACCCTCCGTCCTGCATCATTGACAAGGTAAACCACGCTGGCAAGTCTGAATGAACTTTCTCAGCCAATGCAGGGGTCGAACACCCGACCCCCAGGCTAGCGAGCCAGCGTCTTACCCACTTAGCCACCGTGATCCGCTATAAAGGGTCTTAAAAGGCAAACGCAAGTCCATAAAGGGTCTTATTAAAGAGTGAGTGAAAAGTCCATAAAAAACAAAATGACAAAACAGCAGTGTAATAGTATGTGGACCAGGATGTGTCACAGAAAGTTGATAAAAAAAAGTCTAATCGCAGGTACAAATATAACTAAATATTAAATGTTTTGAAAGAGAATCCCAATTTCATTTTAGTTAGCCCTTTCAGCGACTTCGGACATCTTCATGCTTTTATTTCAATATATACCAGACAAAATAAATACAATATTTACTTGCGAAAATTTAACTCGGTAATTGTGATTACATAGTGGCAATTATTTCTTTTAATTGTAAAAAGAAAATTCTCAATCAAAATAAACAATTTATATCAAAATATTCATAATTATATCTCCTATAATATTTTTAATTGAAATAAACTGTATTTTAGTTGTCTGATTTAATATAGATAAAACAATATCTATCTTTACAGAAGTTGTCAGCCATTTTCTATTTTAAACATGATTTCATACTGGTCATTGAAGGGCCGTGTTACATTAAGATCATACTGTTAGGGATCATTTCTAAAGTATGTTTCGCTTGGACGTCAGTCAAACTTGACTGGATCGTAAACCACGAGGATGATACAAAGCCTCCCCTTCTGAGCGTGAAGCGGGTTGGATGAAATTGTCAGCTTGGATGATTTCTCTGATCATTGATGACCGTTCCTCTTCTCACTTGGTCGGGAAGATGGAGGTAGGGAAGGCATTCAGAGTGGTTTCTTCAATTAAAATGAAATAAATGAACAGTAATAACATTATTGCTAGGGGTATTGCAGCAGGTTTTAATTTGGAGACTCTTACTTTCCGCTGTATTGCAATGAGTTAACCAAATTTGTCATTTTGAAACACATCACGAACAATGCACAGAGAGAGATGGGGATTAACGTCCACTCGACACAGGTCACGCCATATACTTATGAAAAGCATGCGCAATAAATACTATCGGTGTAGACTGGAATAACCAGTCGCTAGATATTGCCATTCGTTCGAGACTTCTGGCGTATTTCTCCGAACATAACTGATTAGAAATTACAGTAAAACAGAAGCGATTGAATGTAAATCAGTTTACATTATCACATTATCAAATCACATTATTATATGGGTTGCGACCCATGTGTCAATTTCTAGGTGCCAAATATTAGCGATTTAGCTCCTTTAAGATCAGGGTATTGCCACCCGTCTGTGGGTGGCTGGAGAGAGAGAGAGAGAGAGAGAGAGAGAGAGAGAGAGAGAGAGATGGGGTTTAACGTCCACTCGACACAAACTAGGTCATTTCGGGACTAACATATGGTTTAATCTTATTTCAATAATTCGCTTGCGCGTAGGGGTCTTTAGCAGTGGAAGGAAACCAGAGAAAACCCACGAGGTTGGACAGGCGACCCTACTCCTTGTCACGTACAACCGGGGTTTCAAAACCACGCCAGTTGACTCAATGACAGGCCTTATGATATAGCACGCACTTGCTAACCATTCGGCCATCCAACCCCCCGGGTGGCTGGAGTAACATTCATAATGAACCACAGAGGAGTCACGGTGGCTAAGTGGCTTAGACTCTCTCTCGATCCCTGCATTAGCCGAGAAAAATCATCCATTACTTAAAATGTTCGTGTGTTATGTCTACCGGGGAGCCACGGTGGCGAAGTGGCGAAGACGCTGGCTCGCTAGCCTCGAGGTCGCGTGTTCGATCTCTGCATTGACCGAGAAAGTTCATTGGGATTTTCGTACGTGGTTTTTCCTTGTCAGTGGTGCAGGGCCGAGGGCCTAACAAGAACAGCTCTTTAGTCGTTCGGAAGGAACGAAAAACCGAGGTCCCGTATATACATTTGCTTGCACGTAAAAGATCCCTTGACAGTTGGAATTCGATATAAGTGTAGGCGATAGTGCCGCTGCCCGGGTAAAATTTCCCTCAAAGCACACTGTATGGTTACCGAACCAGCGTCTTACTCCCTTAGCCACCACTGCTATTGAAATAAAATTGAACCATATGTTAGTCTCGAAATGACCTAGTTTGTGTCGAGTTGACGTTACACCCTCTCTCTGTCTCTCTCTCTCTCTCTCTCTCTCTCTCAATATAAAACCTTATTATTTTGGGAATAAAACATTATGTTTAAATGTTATGGTCTTATTTTCAGGTAGTTTTTTAGTGACAGAAATTGTGTTTTGGACGGTTGGTGGGCTCTACCTCCTAGCTGACATTACAGGAAAACCAAAATGGCTGAAACAATATAAGACACAACCTAATAAAAACCAGCCGGTATAAAAACATTTACATATTTATTTTCAATTTGTGTCCGGTCCGACTGATGGTCGTTCTGGGGCGGGTCCTTCTTGGGTGTGTGTGGTCGTGTGCTTTATCCTCTATCATCAGATGGTGGGATGGGATGGGCATTCTGTGTCCGGTGCGAATGAGGGTCGTTCAGGGGCGGGTCCTTCTTGGGGGGGCAGGGTCGTGTGTTTTATCCTTTATCATTAGATGGTGGAATGGGATGGGCACTCAAAACGCGAGATAATGATACTGACGAGTGATATCACAATTAATGTCATCCTATTAATTTCATAATAAAAATTGGATATCACTCTTTAAAAAGCTCAGTGGGTATGTATATTACGCGATTTGGAGACGATGATGGCACCATGCACTGTCAACTGTCAAATTTTCTTAACAGGAACACCCCCCCCCCCCCTGCAAAATTTCCTGGCCCGCCCTTGTTGGCGTACATGAATAAAATCCCTTCTCGGTTGGAAATCGTTGAAGAGAATGTTACGGTAAGTTCGGTTTTCCTGCTCTAGTTCAGAAATGAAATGAAATGAAATGGGGTTTAACGTCCTATTGTTCTGCTCCAAAATGGACTAATTAAGACGGGCATACGCCATACAGTGTTCGATGAGGGAAATTTTGCCCGAAAAGCGGCACTACGGCCTACTCTAATTTCGAATTCCAACTGCACAGGGATCTTTTACATGCATTCCAATGTATACACGGGACCTCAGTTTTTCATACTATCCGATCGACTAGACAGCTCGTCTTGTCGGGCCCTCCGTCCTGCACCACTGACAAGGGGGGGCCCCGTCCAGCACCACTGACAAGGGGGGGGGGGGGGGCGGGCCCGCCGGAAAATCTGGATGAACTTTCTCGCCAATGCAGGGATCCAACACTCGACCTACTTAGCCACCGTGTCTTTAATCTATGTCGTATATCCATATACACATTATATAATTGTGCTTTGACATCAAAATAATCCCCCAGTCACCTCGATAATTCGCTCCGAGAAGAGAAGCCATTTTCTATAATAATTCTAGAATAACTTCGCCTGCTGTTTTTACAAATATTATAGCAGAGTACTGACAATATGTCACAAACTATGTCACAAAAACGTATGATGTATGACCTTCGAATACACTAATAAACAAAATTATTCACGTTACAGATCCCACTGCTAAAGACCCCTACGCGCAAGCGAATTATTGAAATAAAATTGAACCATATGTTAGTCCCAAAATTACATAGTTTGTGTCGAGTGGACATTCCCCCCTCTCTCTCTGTCTCTCTCTCTCTCTCTCTCTCTCTATGTCTCTCTCTCTCTCTCTCAAAAGTTCAATTCTCTCACTATTAGTACCGATATGTATATTTCAGCCTGAATTAAATTCTGTCAACAAGGCTATTAAAACAGCGCTATCTAATCAACTGCTGGTAGGATTTCCAATGGTTATGGTGACATATCTTGTACAAAAATGGCGAGGATGTGATTTAACTCTGAGTCTTCCAGACCCCATCACCTTCATCTGGAATCTTATAGTTTGTGTGATGGTTGAAGAAGTAGGGTTTTATTATTCGCACAGGTAACACTTCTCTTGTGTGTTCGTGGGGAGCCACCGTTGCTAAGTGGGTAAGACGCTGACTCACTAGTCTAGAGGTCATGTGATCGATCCCTGCGTTGGCCGAAAATATTCATAGGGATTTTCCAACGTGGTTTCCCCATGTCAGTGGTGATAATTACAGCTGTCTAGTCCTTCGGATGGGACAAAAAAACGAGGTCCCGTGTACACAATGACGTGCGCGTAAATAATCCCTTAGCCATTCGAATTCAGTATTAGAGTATGCATTCTAGCGCGTCTTCTTTAGCCCGGGCGAAATTTCCCTCATAGCCCACTGTATGGCGTATGCCCGTCTTCATTAGGCCAGTCGGTGCAAGGTTAAACCCCCTATAACTTTATTTCATTTCGTTTGGTGATGGTTGAATATGCAAGCTTTTATTATTCACGCAGGTAAAATTCGCGACGGCCTAAAATATCCCACAGATGCCCAATCATCTTCAATAGAAGGCTTGATCTCGCTTTAACTCCGTAATCTTATCAAGCCCTTCACGTAATACTCTGCATATTTCGGCACTAATTTCGTTTGGATACTGACTCAGCTTGAGAGGCTATCGCGAATACCAAGTCTCGCGCTTTCCAGCTAAAATGTCTACCTGTGATAATCGAGTTGAAAAGTTCACGGTTCTTTCAATGTCAAGGTTTCCGTGGAGGTCACCATGTTTTATTTGAGTGTGTTTGTGTCACAACCTCTGATTGGACGCTACTGTTCACGTGCCTACGGTAAAGGGAGATAACGTAGCTATAAGTCCGAGAATTGTAAAGCAGATGTAGCAACTTCTAGATGTTGTAAAACTCGCGGTTGTTTCTTCAGGAACATGGTGCTCAAGGGGATGGAGATCTGGACTCATGGCTGGCATTTTACCAATAAATTAGCACACTGCGTATACCCGTCTTTATAAGCCTAGTTCTTGTCGCAATGTAGGACTATGAACCCCATTTATTTCCTTTAGTTCTATTCCAGACTACTTCATCATTCAGTATTCTATAAAACCATCCATAAGACACACCATGAATGGACAGCTCCTATTGGCATTGCTTCAGTATATGCTCATCCCATAGAATACATCTTCTCCAACATAGTACCTTTAGTTATAGGACCAGTTCTATGTGGATCATGTCTTATAACTATATGGATTTGGTACACACTGGCTCTGGTATTTACGATAATTCATCACAGTGGCTATCATCTACCGTATTACCCTTCTAACGAATTCCACGATTATCATCATTTAAAGTAAGTATTTACTGCTGGGATGGCTGCAACATTATAATACGTACTTTTGGTCGTATGCCCGTCTTTAGTAGCCCGGTGATGTAGATATTAAGACGGTAGCGGACAATATTGGTGTCAGTCATTATCACATATGTGATAGAACTGGTTAAACACATTTTCTTTTTCGTTTTCACTTATCTAGTGATGAGAAGAATTGCCTGTCTCTAGAGAAGAGAACACGAAAAAAAATAGAAAAAAACACGTGCATTACCATGTTACCATGTTATAATAATCTCTGTGTTAAGATTATATTTGGGACGTTTTTAATTAGTTCTGTCACATATGTAATAAAGACCGACACCAATATTGTCCTTTAAACCCCATTTCATTTCTGTTCGTTTACTAGTGGGACAGTTGCAACATGAAAATACTTTCGCTCATAGTAATGGGCTGGTTTTGGTCGCATGTCCATCTTTATTAGCGCGCAGTTGACGTTACAATCCATTTGATTTCATTTCGGTTTACTACTGGGATGTTTGCAACATGATAATACTTCCGGTCAGCGTAGTTCACCGTAAAAACTACATATTTATTTTCAATTTGTGTCCGGTCCGACTGATGGTCGTTGTGGGGCGGATCCTTCTTGGGTGTGTGTGGTCGTGTGCTTTATCCTCTATCATCAGATGGTGGGATGGGATGGGATGGGCATTCTGTGTCCGGTGCGAATGAGGGTCGTTCAGGGGCGGGTCCTTCTTGGGGGGGGGGGGCAGGATCGTGTGTTTTATCCTTTATCATCAGATGATGGAATGGGATGGGCATTCAAAACGCGAGATAATGATACTGACGAGTAATATCACTATTAATATGATCCTATTAATTTCATAATAAAAATTGGATATCACTCTTTAAAAAGCTCAGTGGGTATGTATATTGCGCGATTTGGAGACGATGATGGCACCATGCACTGTCAACTGTCAAATTTTCTTAACAGGAACATCCCCCTCCCCTGCAAAATTTCCTGGGCCCGCCCTTGTTGGCGTACACGAATAAAATCCCTTCTGGGTTGGAAATCGTTGAAGAGAATGTTACGGTAAGTTCGGTTTTCCTGCTCTAGTTCAGAAATGAAATGAAATGAAATGAAATGAAATGAAATGGGGTTTAACGTCCTATTGTTCTGCTCCAAAATGGACTAATTAAGACGGGCATACGCCATACAGTGTTCGATGAGGGAAATTCACATAATACTCTGCATATTTCGGCACTAATTTCGTTTGGATACTGACTCAGCTTGAGAGGCTATCGCGAATACCAAGTCTCGCGCTTTCCAGCTAAAATGCCTACCTGTGATAATCGAGTTGAAAAGTTCAATGTCAAGGTTTCCGTGGAGGTCACCATGTTTTATTTGAGTGTGTTTGTGTCACAACCTCGGATTGGACGCTACTGTTCACGTGCCTACGGTAAAGGGAGATAACGTAGCTATAAGTTCGAGAATTGTAAAGCAGATGTAGCAACTTCTAGATGTTGTAAAACTCGCGGTTGTTTCTTCAGGAACATGGTGCTCAAGGAGATGGAGATCTGGACTCATGGCTGGCATTTTACCAATAAATTAGCACACTGCGTATACCCGTCTTTATAAGCCTAGTTCTTGTCGCAATGTAGGACTATGAACCCCATTTATTTCCTTCCGTTCTATTCCAGACTACTTCATCATTCAGTATTCTATAAAACCATCCATAAGACACACCATGAATGGACAGCTCCTATTGGCATTGCTTCAGTATATGCTCATCCCATAGAATACATCTTCTCCAACATAGTACCTTTAGTTATAGGACCAGTTCTATGTGGATCATGTCTTATAACTATATGGATTTGGTACACACTGGCTCTGGTATTTACGATAATTCATCACAGTGGCTATCATCTACCGTATTACCCTTCTAACGAATTCCACGATTATCATCATTTAAAGTAAGTATTTACTGCTGGGATGGCTGCAACATTATAATACGTACTTTTGGTCGTATGCCCGTCTTTAGTAGCCCGGTGATGTAGATATTAAGACGGTAGCGGACAATATTGGTGTCAGTCATTATCACATATGTGATAGAACTGGTTAAACACATTTTCTTTTTCGTTTTCACTTATCTAGTGATGAGAAGAATTGCCTGTCTCTAGAGAAGAGAACACGAAAAAAAATAGAAAAAAACACGTGCATTACCATGTTACCATGTTATAATAATCTCTGTGTTAAGATTATATTTGGGACGTTTTTAATTAGTTCTGTCACATATGTAATAAAGACCGACACCAATATTGTCCTTTAAACCCCATTTCATTTCTGTTCGTTTACTAGTGGGACAGTTGCAACATGAAAATACTTTCGCTCATAGTAATGGGCTGGTTTTGGTCGCATGTCCATCTTTATTAGCGCGCAGTTGACGTTACAATCCATTTGATTTCATTTCGGTTTACTACTGGGATGTTTGCAACATGATAATACTTCCGGTCAGCGTAGTTCACCGTAAAAACTAATTGTGGAAATGGGTGTCCAACCTCGTGGGTTTTCTCCGGGTCCTCCGGTTTCCTCCCACTGCTAAAGACCCTACGCGCTACCGAATTATTGAAATAAAATTAGTCCAGAAATGACCTAGTTTGTGTCGAGTGGATGTTAAACCCCATTTCGCTCTCTCTCTCTGGAAATGGGTGTACAGTACATGCATATAATAGAAATAATCGACTGATATAGTTTCGTTCAAATCGATCCAGTCTGTTAACAAGGTTGTTATCTAAATTATTAATTCGAAATTAATTAACTTATCCAGATCATAATCAATTCTCGGTGGCATCGCTAGCCTGCGATATTTACTGGATTATGATCCCATTTGCTGCTCGACTTCCATTCATAATTTAATCATGAAATGGGTGATCGAGACTATGTTTTTTATCGTACCGACTTGAGTAATGACGATCGAAGTTAGGGCTAAATTTCAATCGCTTAATTCTCGGCTCATAGTGGATCAATTTGAGTGAAATTGCCTTTACATTATCTAGTTTTTAACTATTATAGTGAGAACTGCCAGCCCTTTATCTAATCTCCCATAATGTATCTTTAAATAAGGGAATTAACTATCATGATGGAAAGTTTTCAATTTTAGACATGGAACATATCTTTAAAGGGACAATAACACTCTTGCTGGCTTGACAGCTCCAGAAAATAAAAAAATAGCCTTATTCTAAGTATTAGATGTGTTAGTGTCCTACCTGTTGTGTAAATTATCCATTAAATCCTATTTTACTTGTCCAGAGGGTTTCAAAAATATTTTAAATCCAAGTCACATTTGAAATGCTTTACGTCAGGCTTTTCAAATCATTTAGTTGAATTTTTCTAATTTTTTAAATTAGGTGTGTTAAGATGAAATTTGTATCATCAATTAATTGGAATATTGTAAAATGGTAAAATTTGTTGATCAGAATAAAGATTGGGACATATTATTCAGTTACAACAAGAGTGGTATTGGGCCTTTAAGATGTAACTTCACATTCTGTCTAGTTTCATCAATTTTATTCTTCGTGTAGCGTGAAATAAGATTTACAAGGCAATCTTTTTCTAGAATTTAATTTAAATCTGAAGCATTAAATAAAGAAGAATCTGTATGGTAAAACTGTGTTAATTGGATTAAAAAACAAACTCTGTGGCATCTTTTCAATACTATACACACAGTCGCATATACGCCAATCTGTATTTAAAAGCTTAAAGATACATTATGCAAGAGCTAAATTTGCCTATTGCAGGTCTTTCTTTGGGCCTGTAATTCTATATAAACTATTAATTAGACATTAATTAACTTATCCAGACCATAATCAGCTCTCGATGTCATCGCTAGCCTGCGATATTTACTGGATTTGAATTCGATCTGCTGATCAACGCTCATTGATGATTAAATCATAAAATGGATAATCGAGACTATGTTTTTTATCGGACCGACTTTAGTAATGATGATCGAAGCTAGGCCCAAAATTCAATCTCAAAATTCTTGGTTCAGAGTGAATCAATTTGATGATTAAATAAAAAAGAGGATAATGTTTTTTTTTATCGAGGCTAGGCCTAAAATCCAATCGCTTAATCCTCAGTTCAGAGTGGATCAATTTGACGGAAATTTTCTGCAAATTCCCTTTCCATTATCTAGTTTTTAACTATTATAGTGAGAACTGCCAGCTCTTTATTTTATCTCCCATAATGTATCTTTAATGTAATCTTTATAAAACAAATACCCCCCCCCCCCATATTTCATGACCGTATTCTGTCAGATTCATTTTCTAGGGTTCCTCCTGCCAGAGGTGCAGGACGGAAAGTTTGGCAAAGAACATTGTTTAGTCGTTCGGATGGAACGAAAAGCCGAGATCTTGTGTTCACGTTGTCGTACACGTAAAATAACCTGTGTCTGTTGGAATTCAATGAAGGATAGACAACAATTCCCTCATAGCACATTGCATGAGGTATTCTTCATTTGACTAATTATAGCAGAAAAGATGCATTATGTAAGAGTTAAATTGAAGGTCTTTTTTCTGGCTTCAAATCTTGTATAATTTATTATTAAGACATTTATATACATGACAAGCCTTAAACCAACCCTATAAATATCGGGTGACCGAGATTTGAACATGCACGAGGTTTTAAAAAATAAATGATAAAATCTGTAATCGAGACTTAGTCTCGGTTGTCAAGTATCGTTGCTACCATAACAAACGATCGGCGCTACATCTTCATACAGTCATACCTTCACTCAGAATAAAATTATCTGAATGTAGGTTTTACCGGGACAGTACCGGTTTTTCGGGACCCTTTCCGTCGTCTCGTCCCCATGATTCTCATGTGCCTAAATGTCCCGGTTTTTAAATCAAGTGCTTTTCAATAGAAAATGATAACACAAAACACATAAACTATTGATTAATAGTATACGAAATGAAATTTTCAATGTATTCATTTTTCATTATCTAATTTTGAACTATTTTAGCAATAACCAGTCCTTTATCTAATTCTTACATAATGCATCTTTCAACCCCATTTCATTTTATTTTATTTTATTCAGATTTACAGAGAATTTTGGTGTTTTGAGTTTAATGGACTGGATACACGGTACAGATACTAATTACAGACGATCCAAACAGTACAAGCGAGATAAAATTATTTTCTCTTCTAGGGAAATGAAAATTTCTTGATTTAATGTTTAAAATGTGCCTATTTTATCTTAAAATTTGGATAGTATAACAACATAACAATGCAATTACCTGAGAAAGGTAATCCATTTACAAATAAAGACATTTTATAAATAATTCATATTAAAGAAGCCTAATACTAAATTCAACCACTCGGATCAAATATGCATACTAATAAAAATAAAATAAAACCAAGTACGAACAATCCAAACCATAAGACAGAATTCGAAGTCCTAAAAAACGTTATAGGCAAAAAAGTGTATTCAAGCAAAATAGTGTAATCAGCAAATGGACTGCTCCTCGTGTACAAAATACACTACAAACAGTGGTAACAGGTGTCCGGAAGAGAGAGAGAGAGAGAGAGAGGGGGGTAACGTCCACTCGACACACAACATAGGTCATTTCGAGACTAACATATGGTTCAATTGTATTTCAACAATTCGCTTGCGCGTAGGGGTCTTTAGCAGTGGGAGAAAACCCCAAGGACCCGGAGAAAACCCACGAGGTTGGACAGTCGACCCTACTCATTGTCACGTACAGCCGGGGAATCGAAACCACGCCAGTAATACTTGGAAAAATCAAAATGATTATTTGCCAGTCCCCTATTATGGTACCAATATTATACTCTGGTGGTGTAATCCGTTAGACTGGATAACGCGTACATCATGTCTTTGTAATGGCAGTTTAATAGATGTAGATAAATCTTCTATAATAAAATCCATTAACATCTTAAATAAACACATGTAAGGGATTATATGGTATTCAACATTTAAACCTATTCCATTGTTATTGGTTTTTATTTTATTTTATTTATTTTTCTCGCAAATGAGAATGTAATAATAAAAAAAAGATTCAGTCATATACTTTTATAATATTAGGGTAAATTATCCGCCATTAAAATAAATTGATATATTTACACAAACTAACACCTACAAAGAACATAATAATCAAATCAGTTCATGTAGGCTAATATTTTCAGTTATGTATTGGTTTTAGATAGGGAGATGGCCGAATGGTTAGCGCGTTGTATCATAAGGTCTGTTATTGAGTCAAGTGGCTTGGTTTCAATTGCCCTGTTGTGCGTGACAAGCAGTAGGGTTGTCTGTCCAACCACGTGGGGTTTCTCCGGGTCCTTTCGGCACCATAACTGATATAACGGCACCATAGCTGATATAACGGCACCATAACTGATATCACACAGCACCATAACTGATATCACGACACCATAATTGATATCACAGTACCATAGCTGATATAACGGCACCATAACTGATATCACAGCACTATAGCTGATATCACGGCACCATAGCTGATATCACGGCACCATAACTGATATCACCGCAACTATACCATAATTGCCATCAACCCACGAGGTTGAGAAGACGGCCCTATCTCCAAACAACATACGCTCACACTAAGGATCGAAACCACAAGCACAAGTCAGAGGTGACCGACCAACTAGAGCTCGAAGCGCGAAACTCTAGACAACTAGGCCATCCCAATTCCCCGAATTTCTAAACCTAATTTTGCTCTTTTATAATCCCTGTTTCTGTTATTAATTAGGTAATTGGTCAATTACGCTCAATGACATAATAATTAGCCAAATATGGACATTGACCTTGACAGTCAAACTAGTAAATTTCCATTAAAGTTCAGTTACTATATTATATATGATGTGTTTAAGACAACCAAATAGACAATTAAACAGTCTGTAACCAAATATCTTCCATTTCCGTTGCATTACGTGACGTCTAACTTGCTTATAATTTTGAAACCAGCAGTAGGCCGAGGTTATAACTTTGTTACAAAACACAACACGAACGTATTTTTCACCCGTACACCAAATTAATACAGATTAAATGTATGATGTTTATTTAATAATGTCCATTAGGGGATTGCCATAAATATGGACATTTACCAATAGTACCGACATCTCTCTCTCTCTCTCTCTCCCTCTCTCTCTCTCTCTCTCTCTCCTCGGTACAACGACGTAGAACACAGCTAGCTTAACACAAATTAATACAGATTAAATATATATGATATTTATTTAGTAATGTCCAAAATAGAATTACCATAAATATGGACATTTACTAATAGTACCGACATCAAAATAGAATTTAAAGGACTAAAACGGAATCCTCATTGAATACAATGTTCTGAGAGGGATTTGAAGCAAATATTTGATAGATTAATTAGTTTGGATATGTTTTTAGTCCAATTATATCATCAAATCACACAGTTTGTACGCGGGAAAAATGCTTTAAAGAAATACAAATAGTTGTAAAGACATAAAAAGATGCGAATAAAGATTTCCTCATTGTATTTATAGCTATTAATAGCTAATCATTTAAATAAATCATGTCTATAAATACCTTGTTGATGTTTCAAATCTGATGTAAAATATAGTTTTACTCTCACACGAATAAATGAAAATAAGAAAACATTTTGTAAACGCTTTCAATCATCAACGTTGACCGATTTCTGTCCGCGGATCTATACAACTTATTCTCTCTTGATGGCACTTGACAGATTTTCCCAGTTTTTACATCGATTGACGCGAGAAAAAAGAATAACACTCAGAAAATACTAATATAATTATTGAAAACAATAAGATGCAAGCTTGAAAGTGGGTAGAAGCAATACAATTGTCTTCTATCAACAGTGAGAGAGAGAGAGAGAGAGAGAGAGAGAGAGAGAAATGGGGTTTAACGTCCACTCGACACAAACTAGGTCATTTCGGGACTAACACATGGTTCAATTTTATTTCAATCATTCGCTTGTGCGTAGGGGTCTTTAGCAGTGGGAGGAAACCGGAGGACCCAGAGAAAACCCACGAGGTTGGACAGGCGACCCCACTCCTTGTCACGTACAACCAGGAATCGAAACCCCGCCAGTTGACTCAATGACAGACCATATGATACAGCGCGGGCGTGCTAACCATTCATCACAATATAATTTCGAACACGCGACCTCAGGGCTAGCGAACCGGCGTCTTACCCACTTATCCACCATGGCTCCCCAAGGCCTTAGAATTAGTTTGGGAGTATTATGTACATAGTAGTTTATATGCCGAGAAACCAGAACCTTCGTTGCTCGACAGACGTCATATACTGACACTGCAGTATGCTAGGAATACTGCATCTCTGTCTAAGCATATTTCGTATTAATACCATATCATGAACATTTATATTGCTGAAACCTAAAAATGCTCCATCATTCGGTATTCGTATTCTACCCCTTTTGCCTTTGTCTGAGGCTGACATCAGTCATGACAGTCTTGCCAATACCCATTTAGGGCCCCATCCTGAACCATATGATCTAACAAAAACAAAATGAAACATACTAGTTCCACGGCGTTTTAGTATCTCTTTCAGGAATTAGCGGCTAAATATGGAAATGAAATGAAATGAAATGGGGTTTAACGTCCTACTGTTCTGCTCCTATACTGGGCTAATGAAGACGGGCATACGCCATACAGTGTGCTATGAGGGAAATTTTGCCCGGGCAGCGGCACTATCGCCTACTCTTATATCGAATTCCAACTGCCAAGAGATCTTTTACGTGCATTCCAATGTATACAGGGGACCTCGGTTTTTCGTCTCATCCGAAGGACTAAATATGGTGATTAACACTATCTGAGTTATATATCGTTTATTTACATCTACCCACGAGGTTAGACAGGCGACCCCACTCCTTGTTCGAAACCATGCCAGGTGACTCAATGACAGGCCTTATGATACAGAGCGCACATGCTAACCGTTCGGCCATCCAAACCCCCGCCTGAACGAGAATGTGGGTGCATTTTGATTGAGTGCAAGCATCTACATGACATTAGATTAAATTGTAATGCATCCCGTTTGCCCAGTTGGGATTATATAATAAAGTGTTAAACTTTTTTTAAATGAAACATATATTTTGATATATACATATATATGATAAAAAAAAAAAACACCTGTCATTTTCATTTATCTGTTTTTAATATCTGTATGCTTTAAAGTTCATGATATTTTTTTTTAACTTAAAAAATGTGATTTTATCTTTAAAGGGCACTTAGTGAAAGCGATATATAATAACAAACAGCTTTATAGATAACTGGGACCTGTTTCACGAAATTTTAACTAAAGATAAAATCCAAATTGTAGTAGATACTTCAATTTTGATTGGCTAAGCACTAAAATCAATCTATTATTATCCAATCAAATTACTAACATTTGGATTTTATCTTAGTTAAAATTTGGTGAAACAGGCCCCAGGTGTATTAACTACAACGTTTCAATGAGGATATTCTCACTGTTATCAATGGATAATATTCACTAGGTTTATTCCATCCAACTGTCTGTAATATAGTGAAAGCGATATATAATAACTGACATCTCTATGGACAACATTCACTAGGTTTATTAACTACAACGTTTCGATGGGGATATTCTCACCGTTATCAATGGACAACATTCACTAGGTTTATTCCATCAAACTGTCTGTAATTTACAACTGTGATATTTGTTTTTATATTTAAGTATATGAATAGTGTTTTTAGCCCGTCTCATATATTTTTATTTCACCACGTTTGACGTCATATATCCCAGTTGGTGCTGATGCGCTATTAAACAACATTTCATTCATTCATGCTAGACATTTACGCTATTGTTCTTGATTTTCAAAAATAGTTCCCGGTTTCCATTTCAACATCGAAAACCCGTACAACAAGAATATTAACGCCATGAGCGGATTTCCGTTGCTACCCATCTTTGATTTTCATCAAGTTAAAGATATAGTGTCACACTGTATGTATATGATTCAGTTTATTAAACTTACATTATACAAGAGCTAAATCTGCCTATTAGGTCTGAAATGTTATCTAAATTATTAATTAGACATTATACAAGAGCTAAATCAGCCTCTTTCTTTAGGCCTGAAATGTACTCTAAACTATTAAATAGGCATTAATTAACTTATCCAGACACAAATCAATTCTCGATATCGTCGCTAGCTTGCGATGTTTA